AAACTCACTATGGGATATGGAGTTACTGGAAAAGAGCTTGGATGGTTTAGGGATTACCTAACCGATAGACGACAAGTGGTGACAGTCCAAAGTACTCTGTCAGACCCTTGTGATGTTGCTTTTGGTGTGCTGCAAGGTTCAATCCTTGGACCATTGTTGTTTGTGCTGTTCATCGATGATTTACCTACTGCTATCAGCAAATGTAATATATTATTATAGGCTGATGATGCGGTTGTTTTTGCAGCCCACAAGGACATTAAAATCTTGGAAGAAACTTTGAATGCCGAACTAGATGAAGCGAATAAATGGACTCTCAGTAATTTTCTTTTTATCAACCAAAGAAAAACAGAATTCGTAATTTTTGGAACTGATGCTAGGCTTTCTAAAGCTACTGATACAGTAGTTATCAAAATAGGTGATTGTGAAATTAATAGAGTTTATGATTTTAAGTATTAAGGCATCGTTCTTTACGATAGTCTTACGTGGAAAGACCATGTTCGTTATGTTATTTCTAAAGTTGGTAAAAGAGTTGGTGTCTTAGGGCGCCTCAGAAGGAATATCACTATACATGCAGCTTTCGAGATGTATAATTCATTAATTTTGCCCATTTTTGATTATTGCGATGTTGTTTGGTCCAGCTGCAATAAAGTAGATATGGAAAGTTTTGAATCTTTGCAAAGGCGGGCCTCGAAAATTATAGTTAAATCTAAATGTGGTACAACATCCACCGACTATCTTAAATTTCAGAGTTTAGAAGATCGCCGTAACGCTCATATTTTAGGTTTAGTGAAGAGGTGTTTAAAAAATAATGTACCACAGTTTTAAAAGAATTATTTTAAGTTGAATAAGGAAGTTATTTTAAGAGAAACACGAAGAAGCAATTTTATATGCTTACCTGCAGTAAGAACTGAGACCGCCAAGAAAAGTTTTTATTATAATGGCTCAGTTGTGTATAATAATTATTTAGTAAATAAGAATTGACTTTAATTGTTGTACTGTACTATTATTAACTTATAGTTACTTAGTTTCTTATTATTTATTTTGAACTTTTTATTAGTTTTAATCTAGGGCTCCTATTGATAACATATATACTTTTAAGTATTCTGAAGGGATTACCCTAGTTAAATAAAGGTTTGCTACTGCTACTATACTCTGGTTAAGAATTTATGGTTCCTTGTTTCAAAACACATTTTGGCTTAGTGTGAAACAAGTTTTTGACAATTTATTGTGTTAAAACATATTTACTGTATTGAAAAAGCGAATTTTATCAACGCTGCTGCGCTGGTTTCGGCCTTTCTTCTCTAATTTGGGCTTTTCAAGGCGTGAGTGCATTCAAATCTCCCTCTTCAATGCTAATGAATAATTAATGATGTCCTGGCATTCTGTGCGATGATTCTGTGCTGTTTTAAAAACTAACAGGAGGTAAATTTTCCCTTAGAATAATGGTGCAATATTTTCTCGTTCCATTTCTTAAATTTCGAGGTAGTGTTAGACCCGAACTATTCATACTTACAGCGGAAAAAACACTGCAGTCGAACTTCTGTAATACAAAAGAACTTATGGACGAAGTAAAATGTCAGTATAAGAGATCTGTCCGTTTCATTATTAAGTTCATTACGGTGTAACTCTTAAGCTTGAAGTGTCTATAGAAACATGAACAGGCATACTCGTGCTTCTTTTCTCTGGGTATTAAGAGACCATGATTGTCTGAGATTCAGCGTGCGTTGTCCTTATTAGAGAGGGTACATATCAGGAGGGTTCCTTATTATAAGAAGAAGATTGCTTTTGTATTTAACAAAAGTTCAAAAACTTTAGGTCCCCACGTGTTAGGTAAGTCAGTCTTCAATTTGTAGATTATTTCATCTGTTATTCTGATCCGTCACCAAAAGTTCAACGTTTCAACCAATTTTTTGGAGGATTGCTAAAATGACTGAAAAAATCGTGGTGGACAAACCTAAACTTATATTCTGTCAGACGAGGAGAGCAAAATGTGAAAGATTCGTTGAGATTTACATTGTACAATAAGGTAGCAACCCCAATTGTGTATATCAGTTTTCCGTAAACGGTTGGAGTAGTTTGATGCATAATTTTAAGACGAACGGTAATTTCAGCAAATACTTGAGCTTGACGATCTTATTTCGACTGAAAATAAGTTATAACCGCAATTTGGTTGTCGGCTTGGAAAAAGTGGTGATTAGAGGAGGGAATTGCCGAGGAAATCGAAAATTAGGAGCACAATTAAAACACTCTGCTCGAGCGATTCTACGCCGAAATTAAAAACAAACATGGTTAAACCTCGCAAACGACGATTTCATTTAATCGAAAGTGACTCGGACACTGACTGTATAATTCCTTGAACTTTTTAGCCGGACTTTGAACTTTTTTGCGCCTTAAAGATGTGAAAACATCTTTGTATTTATTGTTTAGATCGTACGCGATTGTTTTGACCGAACGCACAATGTCATTTGCAGGGTTTGAATAAATTATTTTTGCACTTGATGCGCGGGCCTTGCTTTTGCATAATTATGATAAGCTATCTCGTAGTTTTTCATGTGTATTATTAATACGTAATCACATGATTTTTCTCGTAAATAAGCAGTTGTAAAATGTTAGTCTTTAAAAAAATTTACTCGTGCCTATTTATTCCAAATTGCACTCGAAATCATGTGATTACCTATACTTATATACTAACTTTACTTGCATGACTGACACTACTTGAATAATGAGGATCAATTGAAAAGCCACCATAATAAAACTTCTAACAATATACACCCACAGCTTGCTTACTGATATACACTGGCCTAAATGACTAAATCATGAAAATCATATATGTGAACTGCGGTGGAAGAGATAAGTACTGAAGCGACCTTAGCAGCATTGAACACTACTTAAGCAGTGGTGAAATTAAGGCCTGAAAAAGCCAGAATATCTCCATAAGGTGTCTGACGTCTACCATAACAATTACTTAATGCAATATCTAAAGGTAATTTACGCAGATGGAAATAGATCTCTAATTCATAAACGTGCATTGTCTCCGTGATATATCACACAGAGTCTTGTTCCAGGCGAGAAGCGTCTTACATTCTAGTAACGCGGTGCACGATTTTACACTTTGGTAATTTTTCAAAAGCAGTTTGGCAACATGTCTCGCATCTTGTTTCTTGGTACCTTCACTGTGCTGTGCTCTCTGATGTGTGTTGTGAAATGAAAAGAAGATGGGTAGATTTTTTTATTAATATCAGGGAAATTTTTTTAAAACTGGAAATTTATAATGCGTTTGAAGCAGGAATAAACGAAAGTAATTCACTTCGAATGCTCTATTGTGACTATTACCAAAATTCCCAAGTTTTCAAAATGTTCTACCCTCTAATAGGAGAGTAAAAATGTTTATAAAGCCATTATGAGGATATGTAAATCTCCTAAAAGACAGGTGGGATCTACCTCACGCAAGCTGTTTTAGGCAGGCGGTTGGGATAAAAGGATCATGAAGTTTAGGCTATAAATTCGGCAAAAATTTTTAATTTGTTAGTATGCTTTGACGCTGAAGAAAAAACTCCTAAAGTGCCGCTCACAAAATTTCATAGTATGACTATGGAATTTAGTCAGCTAAAGTGTAGCTTAATCATCCATTTTTCTCTCAGCATATTTACACTACGAAATAAATAAATATAAAATTTCAAAAACCTCCCCCGGACATCTAGTCCTTTAACTGTCGTTTTGAAAATGATTTTCGATTAGGATCAGAAGCAAATATGTAGAATTGTAAAAACGGTCGAAATGACGACACAACCTTTTTATCGCGTGAACTTCCGTCGAATACATCTTAATCTAAATATTGAGATAGCTCCTTCTGAAAAAAATTTAGACGTTTTATGGCTTCAAATTCACGGGTAAAGAATAAGTTTCGATTAAACATCGAAATATCTTTCAGTTATTTAGAGACTGGAATTCTAAAGGAACACAATCATCTCGAAAGAAATAGCCGAATTTAGTTCTGTCTCATCTTCTTATCATCATTATCTGTATTCTACACTGACATAACGAACTTGGAAAAACACTGGGCCTTTTATGAAAGTTGCCCACTAAATTTTTCTCCAATCTACATCCTAGATCCTAAATTGCTCGTCTCGATACTAACTTTTCGTGTCTTGAAATGCCAATTCTTCAACAAAATTTGCATCTTTCCCCTTTGACAGGTACAGAATTGAAAATTCACCTATCAATTATTTACAAAACAAATACACTTATGCTTAAATTAAAATCAACCCCAAAAGTTTGTTGACTTCTGCGAAGTAGTTGAAAACACGAGTTTAAATGATCCCATAACTCATCATCTTCCAACTGCGGTGGAAGAGATAAGTATTGAAGCGACCTTCGCAATATTGAACACTACTTAAGCAGTAGTGAAATTAAGGCCTGAAAAAAGTCAGAATATCTCCATAAGGTGTCTGACGTCTACTGTGACAACTACTTAACGCAATGCTTAAAGTTAATTTACGTAGATCTCTTATTCATGAACGTTAATTGTCTTCGTGGAACATCTCACTGGGTCTTCAGAAGCTCTAGGCGAGAAACGTCTTGCATGCAAGTAACGCGGTGCACAATCTTACATTTTGGTAATTTGGCGGGAGTAGTTTTGTAATATGTCTCGCATCGTGTCTTTCGGTACCTTCATTATGCTGTGCTCTCTGATGTGCGCTATGAAGTGCAAAGAAGGTGGGTAGATTTTTTAATCAGTATAAGGGGAAAATTTTTAAAACTGTTATTTTATAATGTGTTTGAAGCGGGAATAAACAAAAGTAATTAATTGCGAGTGTTCTATTATGACTATTACAAAAATTCCAAGGTTTTCAAAAGGTTCTACCTTCTTTTGGGAGAGTAAAATGTTTATAAAGCTATTATGAGGAGACTTTAATCTTCAAAGACAGGTGGGATCTGCCTCACGCAAGTTTTTTTAAGCAGGCGGTTGGGATAAAAGGATCATGAAGTTTAGGTTATAAATTCGGCACAAATTCATGTTGCACTCTCTTTAATTTGTTAGTATGCTACGTGCCGTTACTCTCATGAGTATGACTATGAATTTAGTCAGCTAAAGTGAGCTTAATCATCCATTTTTCTTTCAGCATATTTACATAACGAAATAAATAAGTAGAAAATTTCAAAAACTCCCCTGAAAGTCTAATTAGTCCTTTAACTGTCGATTTAAAAATGGTTATCGATTAGCATCAGAAGCAAATATGTAGAATCGTAAAAACGGTCGAAATGGCGACACAACCTTTTTATCCCGTGAACTTCCGTCGAATACACCTAAATCTAAATTTAGAGATAATTCCTTCTGAAATAAATTTAATCTTTTTATGGTAAGGAATTAGATTCGATAAAACAACCTAATGTCCTTTAGTTATCTCAGAGACTGGAACTTAAAAGGAACACAATCATCTTGAAAGAAATAGCCGAATTTAGTTTTGTTTCATCTTTTTATCATCATTGTCTGTATTCTACACTCACATAATGAACTTGGAAAAACACTGGGACTTTCATGAAAGCTGCCCACTAAATTTTTTTGCAATCTACATCTTAGATCCTAAATTGCTCGTCTCGATACTAACTTTTCGTGTTTTGAAATGCCAATTCTTCAACAAAATTTGCATCTTTCCCCTTTGACAGGTACAGACATGAAATATCACATATCAATTATTTCCAAAAAAAAACACTTATGCCTTAATTGAAATCAGCTCCATGTAAAAAGTTTGGTGAATTCTGCAAAGTAGTTGAAAACACGAGCTCAAATTATCCCATAATTCATCAGATACAAAAGGCTACGCATTAAGGACAAACGTGAAAATTATAAAATGGAACGAATCTTTCTCAAGGCAACGTCTGTCGCAATCCTGCTTGTTTAAGTTTCTGAAATTAAAAACAAAAACACAACAAAACACAACACAACAAACCATAAATTTCTCCCCCTAAATATATTTATTTGAAAAGACAAGACAGAGGCTTTAAGCCTCTCCTAAGAAACCATACAGGTTACACCTGCAGCCACTTCCAAAACAACACACTGCATAGTGGTACATACAACACAATCCAAGAACAGCGAACCTTGTGAGGATTTCGCAATTCTAAAGAAGTGCCCTAGAAAGCTCGACTATCTTATATTCGAGATCCTCCTTATTAAAAAAGAAAAGAGCAGACATTAAACTTACAGAACATAACTCAATACCGACAGTTGGCCGACTGTTGGTAATATGTCGGTAACCTGTCGGTAGCTTGTCGGTAAAACGTTAACACAAATCTTAATGTTTTCTCTCGGTTTTCGCTTGATACAACATCCAACATGTGTAATACATTGACAAGAATAGCCTTTAATACATCACCATTACGGTCGGACAGTTGACCGACAGTCGACCGACAGGTATTTTGGGGAGCTCTTCTTCACAATTACCCAATATCGTAGTATTCAGTCGTGGTTTGTAGTTTTGATTGATTCTAGGTTAACTTTACTAATTCATGTAAGACCATAAAGTCTAGGCAGGGCCATTCAATCTCGTTAAGTTTAGGCAACGACATGATTTCGAGTGCAATTTGGTGACACAAGACAAGAGAATTGCACGAGCCCGTAGGGCAAGTGCAATTTGTAGTCTGAAAAATTTACCAGTACTTATTACAACAAATTGCTGGGGGAATCATGTTATTACTTTTTATAACGTACATGAAAAGAACATCGCAGGAGGTGAAGACAGACGAATTTTTGAAAGCGTGCGCACACAATTTGTATTTTGCCCTGGTGTTACAACTATGCACCTGCGTTATGACTTTGCACTCCTGTTACATGAGAATGCACTCGTTTTCAGCCAATCAGAAGCGTATAATTTTTTCATGTACATTACTAATAAAGTTATTTATTTATAACACTTACCCAGACTCCATTCGGGCGAAATTATTTGTATGAATACAAAGCACATTTTTAAGCTTTGTTCTCATTAAAGAAATCATTTATGTACCTTAACATTTCTATATATATTTACATATAGTTCATCAATTATGCCAATCCCTTTCAATTTTGACAATGATAACAGGATGTAATCGAAACCTCATGTTATGGTTTTTTTGTTGATTTAAATACGTACACTTTTTGTATGACGTTGACTGCAGTTTTCTTTACTAATTTCTCTACCTCCATCGCTTCCCTATTATTTACCTTTACCACTAGATCCGGTGTCTTTGTCAAATAGAGCATTCCCTTGTAACCAGTGGTATTGTGTTCTTCCTATCGGAAAATATCATTCTTTTCTATAGACCAATGTCGTCAACTGGAGTTCAGTGCTGCCCTTGCATTTAGAGGAAAACGGCTGCTTAACCACAAGATAAAAGAAGTTGACAACGTCGCAAAGGACTTCTGTGGAGCATTGTGTTTTATGGAACACAACTGTATCAGCTATAATATATTAGTGTCCAATGATTCTCCCTCCATCACCAAATGCGAGATGAATAACGCTACACATTTTGAACATCCGAGTGATCTGGTGTCATTTCCAAACAGCACCTATCGTGGATCCAAGGTGTGTTTATAGCTGCAATGATTAGGATAACAGAGGTCTTCTTTCGACCAATCCTCATGTCTTTGTGACAATTCATTTTTTTACTGGTTTATTCACATCTTTTTAATTTTGACTGTAAATATATAAAAACAATATATGTGAACTGCGGTTAAAGAAAAAAATTTGAAAGCGATCTTCGCTTTAATGAACACTACTTAAACTGTAGTGAAAATCAGGCGTGAAAAAAATTCAGGCTTTTACGGAATTTGAACCCATGACCTTCGCGATATCGGTACAGCGCTCTACCAACTGAGCTCACAAGCCAACTGGGAGCTGGTCCGGAGTTCATATATATGATTTTCATATATTTACAGTCATTTATTATTCCCCTCACGGGTTTATTTGAAACCAACATAATGACCAGCTCCCAGTTGGCATACACGGCTGTTAGGTGAAGTGCTTTCAATTAACATTGTTTGCAATTAACGCGATTGGTTCTGAGACGTAGCTTACAAAATAACGCTTATCGTTATCTCACCGAAGTTTCGATATTTGCCGAACGTCAAAGATACAATTATAAGCATGAGTCAATTTGAACCTTGATTGAATTCGATTGCCCTTTGAATATGGAGAGTATGGTATTAGTAAACGCAGTTTGAGCGCCGGATGAAAAAAACACAAGTTTTGGGCTGCTGTAATTTTAATTGCTAATCTACGAATTTATTTCAATTATTTGCCTTTCCTTCATTAGCTTTTAATCACTTGTGACCGATTTATTCACAAAATACATGTACATTTTATTTATTTTATTGTAAAAAAAAGCATGCAATATTAAAGTTTCCTGGAAGTATTGCCAACACTTGATGATCATTTTAAACCGCTCTAGTTGTTTCATTTATCCACCCTCAGAATGGCTATGTCAATGTACCTCCTTACCCTCCCTTCCCGCCTTGTAATTGCGTAGATAAGCCTTGACTTGTCCTTTTTTACTTCTTTGTAAAGAACGCTTGCATAAAGAAGCCATGCCCGAGTAATGCGATCTGCCAGGCCGGTTTTTCCAGTGAGGGGTATAGATGTGTCTGCGTACCGGGTTACACGGGTGAAGATTGCACAGAAGGTGAGGCAGATATACGTGTTCAATATCTAAGTATTAGCAGTCACTTAACGATAAGGAAAGTCGGTGACCGTTGTTTTGAATAAATTCTTTAGTACTCTCCTCGTGCCCTTTTTTTTTATTTTTTCTTTGAGGATGAAGAAAGAGCAGCGGTGAACTATGAGAGAAAACTAGGGAAGGAAGTATTGGGGGAAGTAGGAGAGGAGGCGGGGGGGAGGGGGGTAGGTAACGATAGGTCGAAAGGCGTTTATCTAGAGGAGGATATCCTCATTGCCGCTTCTAGCAATGGAGAACGCGATGAACCCTATCTGCAATGCAACCCTGTCAGTAGGTCGATGTGTTTACCGTTCCTGACGGTGCGACTTCTTTCATTAAGCTCAAAATAAAAAGTGATTCTTAGTTGCTAAGAGGACGTTAAAGTTGGTGATTTCACGATTTTGTGGCATGTATGAGGTGCCTAAGAAAGGTACAAATTTTTATAACGCACGTGCTGCACAGTTGCTTTGCTCATTAGATCTCTTGTTTCGCTACGTTTTCTTTACTATCATCGTCAAGGTTTTCTTTAAGTCCTTAATAAATTAAAGATATGCAGATCCTAACTCATTGTGTCTGTGCTTTACTTAGAAGTCTGTGGTCTCGAAATCTCTGTAATTGAATTTCTACATGATCCTTAAGACGTTGATGAGTGTAACCAAATAAGAAGTACATTATCCATCAGTCATTCTACATGCAGGCCGCGCCTCATTCCTGCTGCAACACAAGCAGGGCTATGAGCCCTATTATTCAGCTTTTACATGCTAGTGCATACGGCACTTGATTTATGGTTTAAATGACTGTTAGAAATAAAGGAAAAACGTTCAGAAGCTCATGTAATCTTTTGATGTCACCCATTCCTCCAGACCTCTTAGAAATGTCTTTGTGTTACTTTCAGATTTCGACGAGTGTAATTTGGTGGATAATAATTGCTTTAAGGGTGGTGCCAATTGTACAAACACTGTAGGGTCATTCAAATGCACCTGCCAGACTCGATATTTCTGAAATGGCATGAAATGCGAAGATTTGTATACTGTAATATTGTTTAGGCTTATGTGAACATCGTTTCAAGGAGTCTTTCTTACTATTTTTCAGTCTGTTTCTCCCTCTCCCTCTCTCTCTTCCTTTTTTTCCCTTTTTCTCTCCCTCTCCTCTTACTCCAATGCTCTCTCTCTGTCATATTCCCTATCATTAGACTGTCTGTGTGTCTGTCTTCTGTCTGTCTGATTATCTGCACGTTCATTCTGTTTGTCTGTTTGTTTTCCAACTGCTTGTAATTCTTTATTAACATTAAAACGTAAAAATCGGAATTCAGTTTCATTTTCGTTCTGTGATGAGAACAGCAACGGAAATAACTGACGAGGACATGTTTCCCGACAAAAAGATTAATTTTCTGCAATCTGAACCTTAATTTGATCGGCGATATTTGTTACTCCTGAGCTGCTTCTAGCACTAATATTAGCAAAAACTAAAAATATTCTTGTGCGCCATTCGGAAAGAAGCGAAAATCACAGGGTATGAAATTTGCCGGTAATAGGCGCTCTTCGAACAGCGTACTTTCCCTTCTTGGTAAGGAAATGTAATTGGAAAGTTGGTGGAAATAATTTCCTATTATTTGCCTGCTGTTTTCTAAAAAGGTGCATGGTATACCTGTAAAGCATTAAGAATCTTGAACTTCAATAAATTCTTGAAAGTTCTAAATTGTTTCTGACGGTGCGACATCTTGAGTTCAAAGTAAAACGTGATTACATTGCTGCGGAGGTATCCTCGCTAGGAGGACGTGAAAGTTAGTTATTTCACGTTTTTTTTTCTTGTATGGAACAGCTAAGAAAAGTACAAGTTTTATAACGCACTTGCTACATTATTTTTTTTCTCGTTAGCTCTTTTGTTTCGCTACGTCTACGGTCTACGTTCTGAAAATCCCCTAGTAAAAATAAAATATGCGGACCCTTACTCTTTGTAAGATATGAATTATTAGTTGTCTGTGCATGGTAGAAAATCGAAACCTTGGTAATTGAATTACTTCAAAATTTTTTCTTTAAGACGTTGATGAGTGCAGTCTGGGAGAACGCAAATGTGATTCAAATGCTGAGTGTAGAAATAACATTGGATCCTACAGCTGCAAATGTAAAGAGGGATTTTCAGGAGATGGCCAAAGGTGCTCAGGTGGGCGTTGACTATTATCCACCAGTAATTCTACTCAAAAGCCCCACCGTAGTCCTGTCGTAACGCAAAAAAAGGTCTATATATGAGTCCTTTTCTTGAACTTCTGCATGCTTGTTCATGTGCCATTCATTTTATAGTTTGAATGACGGGTAGAGCCTAAATTATAAACAGCAACGAAATTAGATATTTGAAAATAAAAAATGTTTAGAAGCTCATGTAATCTTTTAGTGTTATCCATTCCACCAGATCTCTTATCGATGTCTTGCTGTTATTTTCAGATATTGACGAGTGTGCTTTGGTTAATAATAATTGTACCAAGACTGGCGCCGATTGCACAAACACTTTGGGGTCATTCAACTGCACCTGTCAAACTCAATATTTCTGGAATGGAATTGAATGTAAAGGTTTGTTTTCTGTACCTCTATTTGATACATTTTTTTATACCAATTAGAAGTAGCCGTCTTTCTGGTTGTCTGTCTGGTTGTCTGAGCCTTCATTTTTTCGTCTTTTGTGTGTCCATATGTTCGTCACTCTGCATTTGCTTTGAAACGTTGGAATAGGCCACTTCCGAGTTCTCGGACATCAGTGATCTGGTGCCGAAATTACGGCGTGAGAACGAGGCTAAGAGCGAAGTCGCCCTCATCGGTATACAGAATAAAGAGCCCTACTAGTGAGCGAAAATTTCCCGAAATTCGGTGTTGCAGAAAATTATTTGTGGGAGAGGATTTAGCTTAGTGATAGTGATGGCGGCAAAGTAAGAAAAAAAAGGCCGAACTGTTCAATTTAAGCAAAAAAAAAACAAATCAAACAAGCCGCTTCTTCCGAACACCTCGCAATAAACGAGAGACACTTTAAAATGCACAACTTACTTCCACTTTTGATAATTTTTCAGGCCAACTTTATTTGACCTGACTGATGATTTCCCCGAATTGCCCTCGTTTAAACGCCCTAATCTATATATGGGTCATCGCTAAAATTCATTTTCGATTCCGGTGTGCCTTTAATACAAGGGTGGCGGGATTCTAGCTCGTTGTAATAAATAATTTAGCGGACTGGCACTCGCCCTATAGCGAGTCTATTTTTTGAAGAAAGAAGGTAATTGCAAAGTCCATGCCGAGCTGGTTCAAAAATTTCCGTATGTTTTTACACAACATCGTCGCTGTTATGCGTCAAGTGCCTGTTTATATCCTGACGATGAATAATGATGCAATCAAAGTCAAATTAAAATCGTGTGATTATCATTTCCTTTTTTAATTGCAATTAACTTTCCAGCCGACGGTTGTTATAACTACTCAATTCTGAACGACAGTGACAGAAAGAATACTTACATTACACCCATCAAGGGTGAAGTTTTGTGTGACAACTTCCTACCTGATGGGTGGTATCGTTTTGTGGGAGCTGCAGGGACAAAAATGCCAACAACGCGTGTGCCAGCATTCAGATGTGGTACAGTCTGGTCAGGTTGGTTGGATGGTGCTCATCCTACGGTGGAAGATAGTGAAGTTCGCATGTATGTCTGCGGTAGCGATCGTTCCGCCGGTTGCAAATATAGAGTACAAATTTCAGTAAAAAATTGTGGATCCTACTTCATCTACAAACTGTTTAAAGCACCAAGTTGTTATATGCGCTACTGTGGGACTGATTAAACGAGGGGCTAAAAAAGTTTAAAAAAATTGAAAGTGAAGGATCTACGAATTTCTTTGTAAATACATCTGTTATTTTATATTTGTGTAAACTTTAACTGGTCTTGTTAGCGTGCAGTGATTCAGAATGAATGTTTATGATTTTCTCTTATAATCATTTACCGCTCTTCATGTTGAGATTGTCTAAAAAAGTCATTCCATTTTTAATCATTTTATTGCATGTTATTTTCTTGTTTGCAAGTCTCTTCCGAAGTCACAGTTCTCGTCGAGGTTTCGCCTAGACTGCTCTGCAACGTGCATGGTTATCGATCTGGTCATATGCAGGGTTTGAAAATTTAGTTTTCCTCATTTGTGTCGAAAAGACATGATGGACATTATCGAATATAATCGATCGCGAAAGAAGGCGCGAAGACCTCGACATTTCACTCTACTTTTAAAGAGACCAGAAAGTGTTGCAACGAGATTAAGTAAGTGACTAATTGGTGTTAGCCAGCATTTGAGTATAGAAAGGGATTGTAGTTAGTTTTGGTGTAAGAGCGCATAATCTCAGTATAACAATGTCCTTAGAGCAATTATTTACTGATGGTGCGTCTTGATGGCGAGATAATTCTGTGCTCTTTAAAAAGTTACAGAAAGTGAATTTTCTCTTTTATTAATGGTTCGATAACTGCTCGTTGCATTTCTTTATTTTCGAGCCAGTGTTAGACCCTAACTGTTCACACTTACAGCGGTAAAAACACTGCAGTCGAACCTCTGCAATACAAAAAGCTTATGGACAAAACAAAGTGTCCGTATAAGAGATTTGTCCATTTCATTAAGTTAAGTTTGGTGTAACTCGTAAGATTGAAGTTTCTATAGAAACATGAACAAGAATACTCGTCCTTCTTTACTCTGAGTATCAAGAGACCATGATTGTCTGAGATTCAGGGTGCGTTGTCCCTAATAGAGAGGGTCTGTATCAGGAAGGTTCCTTATTATAAAGAGAATATAGCAGAAAATTTGATCTGAACATAGAATATTGTCCGCCGTACTTATCGGCGAGGTGTTGGTATTGCAAAGGTGTCCGTAAGGAAAAGGTTCAACTGTACCGTAAGTGCTTTTGTATTAAACAAAATTAAACTTTTTCTCGATGTTTTTATTACATCAAAAAATCTAGGTCCCCACGTGTTAGGTAAGTCAGTCTTCAATTTGTAGATTATTTCATCAGTTATCCTGATCCCTCGTCGTAAGTTAAACGTTTCAACTAATTTTCCCGAGGATTGCTTAAGTGATAAACAATTGTGGGGGAAAAAGCTAAATTAAATTCTGTCTATATAGACGAGGAATTCGTTACATAGTGCAATACGGTAGCACATCTATTATTGTGGATATCAGTTTTCCGTAGTTTGATGCATAATTGTAAGACGCCCGGTGATTTCAGCAACGCTTGAGCTTGGCACACTCATTTGGACGAAAACTGAATTACAATGATTCACTTACATCCATACAAGAATTCATTTGATCCATGGCTCAAATTGTTTATTCAGACTTTATCGAGGCCAAGTTTAAACACATACTCTTAACTTTATAGGCCCTCTGTTTACGTGAATTCAGGCAGCATGTTTTCGGCAATGAATGAGTAGAAAAAATCAAAACTAATTCATTAAACATAATTGAGATGATGGTTTTAAAACTATTACGAAAAAATAAGTTTTCTGGAAATATACAAAAAAGTGCAAGGCTTAAATGTGTAAGTACAAAAATAAGATGATTTTCGTCGTTTTTACATTTATAAAGTAATTCAAGTAACTCATACAATTCTGATTAAAGTTAACGCTTTCTAAATACCCTAAATCCAGCAATCACCGAAATCATTTTCACATTTAAACTTGTTTAGACAAGTGTACTTTGTTTGAAAAAGATTGAACCATCTTATGAGTGATCATTTTCCTTATTCGACCTCAACGTTTGATTCAAAGTGTTACTGTAAGGAGAAATATGATGTCAATCACTCTTAAGGATTGAAAGTTTAGGGGAAATCGATACAGAGTAGAATTAAATGCGGTAGATGACTCATCGCAGCCACAGTGCTGCAAAAGTTTGCGAGTCATCCCAAGTTCTTTTAAAAATAATGGTAAATAAAATGTATCGTTTTTCATGTTGCCTCTTTTCTTCAATTATATACTAACTTAACTTGAAATACTGACACTACTTGAATACTGAGGATCAATTGAAAAGCAATTATAGCTTACAATTACAAATATACACCCACAGCTTGCTTACTGAGATACATTGGCATAAATGACTGTAAATATATGAAAATCATATATGTGAATTGCGGAGAAAGAAATAAGTATGGAAGCGACCTTCTCAGTGTTGAACACATCTTAAGCAGTAGTGAAACTACGGCCTGAAAAAATCCGGCCTGCACAGGACTTCAACCCTTTACCTCTGCGATATCGGTGCATCACTTTAGCCAACTGGGAGCTGACCATTACGTTGGTTTCAAATAAACCCGTGAAGTATAAATCTATGAAAATCATATATGTGAACTGCGGAGAAAGAACTGAATATCCATGAATTCAAATCCCGTACGGGCCTGTTTTTTTTTTTCGAGCCTTATTTTCACAACTGCCTAAGTAGTGTTCATTACTGCGAAGATCGCTTTCATATTCATACATTAACATGGTTGCGGCAGCCATAGGTTTTTAAAATTCCCTACCTATACAAAAGTACCCTGACCAGGTTCACGTATCAGTCATGATAATGGTTTCCAGTCTCCCCCAACACAGCCATCTTCCCTATTAATGCTTTCAGCAAATCACTTACAGCGTGCATCAATTATAATGGCTCCATCTCACAAAATCTTTTAGTTTTTATTTCCTGTCAAATTTTCTTACTTCACAAAGGTGACACGTAATACCACAACTTTTGTGCTCATCCTCTAGTTGTGTTTTGGAAACAGACCCTTCCATAATATATGGCAGGGTGTAGTGCCTTCAACCCGTGGTTGATACCATCTCTGCAAGGTTGAGGTGCATGCATGTTGCTGTTTTCATCTGCCTCGAGTTGTAGTTCTGTGACATTTTTATAATTATGAAGAGTGTAATTGCACATCTTTGTCATCATAGCTAAAACGTGTTTGCAAATTCCGGATTTTACGGCAACACACAAGGAGCCACAATTTGCAAAAACAACCTCTCCAGAAATTACACTTAGAGCAATAATTAAATTGAAAGTTTTAATTAAAGGGCTCTCATTCATTTTAAAGCTATAAAAGCATTTTAGACGATAATGAAAGTACTGATGGTCATTATTTGTTTGAATATCGTGCAAATATTCACCTTCAAGGTAGGTTTTCGCCTTTTCTTAAGCCTGTGGGAACAGGCCGATATGCATGGTTATCTCCACTGATGCGCCTCTCACACTGTCCAATATATCTGTCCATCTCTGCCCTTGTAAAAAAGGCGTTTTTATCAAGAGATGACCCCCAGCCGTCCGATGGAATTTTCAGTTTCCACTGTGTCCAAGCACTTAAGTAACCCACTGATTTTCTTAAATTGGTACTCAAACGGTAAAGTTTTCGATTCGTGTAAATAATCTCGGGATTTGGATCGATAATATTTTGATCCAATTTTCTTGTTACATATTCCTCCACCCCGAAAAGAAAGAATTAAAACCTTAATTTTGTATAACTCACACAGCAAACATTCTGGTGAATAAGGCAGCCTTAACTTTTTAAGTCAACACTTCAAATCGGCGTTCTTCTGTGTTGACGGTTACCCCACCAAGAACTCTTCCCAGAATATCTTCTTTGATTGGTAAATGGGGACCACATAACGCCTTTGCGATGTTTTCTCTTCCTTGTTGTAAGTGGTTTGTACTTTTGTCCGAACTATATCAGATTTGGCCCTCATGACCTCGTTTCCGTGCAACTCGTCTCAGTTCATACCGGACGGCGGCCATTTTGGAATAAGGTGTAGTATTTAATTATTTTCATGAGTCCTTGGGAGGTACACGCGGTTTTTGAATTAAGAGAAGGGGATTCCGACAATTTTGCATTAACTGTACCATTCCACTAACACTCTTCGTCAATATAGCATCACTGAAAGGATTCAGAGACTGAACGCCAAAGTCACTTTGTCTTTCTTCACATTTATAAATGAGCGGATGATAACGATGGAATGATAAAACTAATATGACTGGAGCTTACGTTAGGACAATTTCCTCCGTCTTTCCGTCTCCATGTAGCTCAAATCCATCTGAAAGGGAATCAAATGTCTCATCCCTGTTAGACGGAGGTGTCTTCTCCCTGCATATTCACAAAATATCTTGAGGATATATAGCGCCATCCGCTCTATATTTTAAATGCTGCGGGAAAACAAAGCAATTTCAGCCAGTATCTTGTGGGTACTGTATCCTCACACAGGCAAGCTAAAACCCAGGGCATTGCCTCATGATTCTATCGTAGAGTGCAGAGACATAACCCCATGTAGCACTGGTGGACTTCTTCAGCCACAAGGGCCAAAACCTGAAAGAAAATAGCAGGAAACCATACTCATTATGAACCAAAGATTCACATTTTAAGACGCATCTAAATGAACTTAAACGCATGTTGCACACTTGTGAAGGAAAATTTACCAAAGAAAAACAATCCTTTGATAAATTTCTGGTCATTTTCAAAGGCAAATATCGACCTTAAACGGTTATTTAGCTCAAAAGTAATTCACAAATCAGTTTCAGGACTTGCTGATAGATAAAAATAAGATATTTAAGAATTATCTTCAATAACTCAGATAACCTTAACGGCTGGATTAAAAAAATCACCAAACGCCGAAAACGGTAGGGAGTGGAGGGGAGGGGATTAACTTCATTACAATAAGGCTTACCTCACGTGGCGAAAGGGGTGTGTGTGGAAACAACCGATTTCAAAAATTTATTTACGAATTAAATCTCACAGCACAAGAGCCTGTATGTACACATAAACAGCCCTAGTTGATGCTCTAAAATTGACGTCAAGCATC